ATATTTTAAAATAAAACAATGTGTTATTTGAACAATTACACCCTCTTGAGCCATCAATGTGGCAATATTTATTTTTAATTAATTATAAAAAATTCCAAGCACCACAAAACTGCTCGTCCCCACAGCCATGTTCAGAGGAAAAGTGCTTTATTTTGAGGTCAAAAACTGGTTTTCTACCATTTAAAATACAATGATGTTTTCATAGCTATCAAATATATGATGTAAATGACATGAAAACAAAACAAAATGCCAAATAAATATTATAAAATATATAATGAAAGTAGTGGTCCCTTGGAGTTGTGTCACTGGTGATACCGTTTAACAAAAATCATTTATTTTGAAATAAAAATCACACTGATGACTTCACTTGACTTCCTTCCTCCCGTTTCCTGAAGATCTATGAAAAAAAGGCCCATGTGAAGTCCACTGTTTCTTTTCAGTTATCAGAAATGTTCTCATTTATCTCATGATTTCATATGAAGCTGGTATGACCTACTTTATTGTTAGGGAATTGTAAAAAACTAGAATACAAATGGATTAAACTACTTACTTTAGTGAGTATACCATGATTGACAACATGTGGTTTGATACCTTGCAGCAGACATTTTGTAAAATGCATTTTTCATGAAAATTGTCACTGGTGTTACCTTCCTAATGGGTAACACCAGTGAAGATCCGTTTACGTTGAAGCTCTTTTACTAACTGCTTTCACTGATTGCCAAATGTATGCCAGATGTAACAATGTAGTCTTATCTACTTAATTGTAGTTAAAGAATAAGGATCTTTGGTCTTATGTATGTCACTGGTGTTACTTTTTGTTCTGTCACATTAAATAAAATTAAATAAAATTAATGTGGCATGTGACATGATAATCATTTTACATCCATTGAATTCTGCTTCACTCAAGAGTTAAGATGTATACTTTTTGTTCTGTCACATTAAATCAAATTAATGTGGCATGTGACATGATAATAATTTTACATCCATTGAATTCTGCTTCACTCAAGAGTTAAGATTTAAAGGATTGCATCATTACTTGTTTATAACTTTTTACAAATATATTCATTGTTATAGCAAATACATGGTTGCGCAAATGAACTAACATCATTCAATCACACTTTTAACAAACCTGATTAAAATAAACAAAACATAATCTCCTTATTTGTTGCATTACCATTATTTTTCTGTAACTAAACAAACTGTACTAAACAAATTGAGAAATAATATTTCATAAAAACCTTTCAAATTGCCAGAGAAGTAAGGCAACACCAGTGACAAAAAATGGTACATGTGGTCTTTAAATAAATGCACGAAAAATATAAAAAATCATTAAGCTGTCATTTATGTGTATTCATAAAGTCAAAAGATAATATAATAATGTGGTCTAGGTTTAAATGGTGAAAAAAGAAATACATTTGAAGACATCTCGCCAAACCAAAAGTGGACGTTTCTGTAGAATGGCCCAATTAACATAACGACTGAACAGCTCTATTCTGTGACTTTGGGGGATATGTTACAATTGTTTAATAAAAATTATTTATTTATAATGTAACTTATCTTGAGGAATTAGATTTAGTTATTTTCAAATGTAGCTCATTCTACACCAGACTTATCACACTTCCTCTGGGTGGGATGAGAGTGACCAACTCATTTCAAATTCACAATCATGAGAACTAGTGTGCTGATTGCCTGATTCTTATATTCATAATTCTGGGCAATCTGAGCTGAATCAAATAAGACTGTCCTTAAAAACTTTCCAAAAGCAATATTTCATTTATTAGATAAATGCTCTGAATTTGATTTAGTCCATTAACAGTTTGGTCATACAACGTCTTTGCAAAGTACCTTGCACATGCAACTTTATTAAAACTTTAAAAGCAGTGTTTTAATTACACAAGAACATTAACCAGCCACGCTTTGATCTCGAAAGCCTGACAATCCTTTGCCGTGATTGGTCAATTCTTGTAAACAAGCTGCGAGTACTTAGGTGTCCTTGCAAACGCCTGAAGAAAAAACTCACCCGAGTCCACACCCATGTACTGTGTGCAGAGGCAGCTGTTGAATGTCTGTCATTACTGAAGTGCAACATTAAAGTCTAGCAGTGTTCTGCTGTAAGCGCGCGTCAGTCATGGACTGCAGAGTTTTGTCAGTCCAGAGTCATGTTGTCAGAGGATATGTCGGAAACAAATCTGCATCTTTTCCTTTACAGGTAAGATTAAGTAGCTTTTGTAGTGCATTAGATGCCTGCAGCGTCATATACAGTTTTAACGTAGTTGTGGTGCAAAGCATAGCACATCCGACCTCTTCACAAGCTGCTTCCTGAACCCTTACCATCAAAATCATCTGCTTCCCGAACCCTTAACGCTACAGTAATAAATCATCTGCTTCCTGAGCCTGATCCAACGTTAGTTTCCCCTCCACGATGCATGTATAACATGTTTAACTTGTGTGTCACTGCTAGGTGCTGGGCTTTGAAGTCGACACTATCAATTCTGTGCAGTTCTCCAATCATACAGGTACATACATTCTGTTATCATTAAAGCAAAAGAGCACAAACCAAATACCAAGACTTACCACAATGTTTAAAACTGTCGACTAACAGATTGTCACAATGCAGGACACTGCAGAAATGGCCTGGTTGTGTAATCGAGGCTGGGGTTCAAATCAAGTGATCAGAGTTCGTGATGAGGCATTACTAATTACTCCTCTTGGACTGGTTTCTCTGTAAAGTGTTTGTTTCAGCTAGGGTTTAAAGATTGAGAGTTAATATGCTGATTTTGAATGAATGTCTCAACAGCATTGCTAAAGCAGGCTTTAGTATGTTCTTGTGCAACTTCGGGGATCTTATCTATGCACAATCAGCTTGTAACACTCCAAAGAGAAAGAAAAACTTGAAATCGCATCATATGACCCCTTTAATAAGAAATTCTAAGCACTTTTATCGGGTGGGTTTATCTTGGTATTGTTTAACTCTGTGTGTGGGAAAGTTTTCTTCAGGTCAAAGATCAGCTTTGATCAGCATGTGGCAGTATTATTTTCCTTTCAGTGAAGCAAAGCTGCAAGCTCAGTATGATTTTTCCCCCCGTCAGTTTTCTTGTCTGTATTCAGCACTGCAAAACAGTGAGGTGGTTTTCTCCTTTTTATTTAGATTTAAAGTGCCCCTATTGTGCCATTTTTAAGGTTCCTAATATTGTTTTGGGTGTCTCCTTCAATAGGTTTACATGCGTGCATGGTCAAAAAATGCTTTTGTTTTTGGGGGGGTTCAGGCTGATGCTTTTTCTTTGCACCCTCTTTCCAGATTTCCATCTGATCTGTGACTTTCAATGGCATTTGGTGCCACCAGGGTTGATTCTCGGAATGAACCTGCAAGCACAAGGAAAAAAAAATTCTAATCCGTTATTACAGTTTGCCCCACCTGTCAAACTTCGTTCTGTATACACTTTGATATTAATAAAAAATGCTATATACATCTGCATGCACCTACAAGGAAGGTTTATAATTAGTTGATAATCCATTACAAATCATTAAAGTTCCATTCCATAATGCATTCCTGTAGATTAAACAGTAAAGCAAAGTGCTATATTGCTGAAATAATGGATTTGATTCCCAGGGAATGGATAACTCAATAAAAAATTTTTAAAAACACTTTAACTAGCTTACTTCGGCTAACTTACCAGTTTTATGTTTTCACCGTTACGATGGCAATCACAAGAAAAAGCTCCAATTGGAATGTGTTTTAAAATACACCGCCGACGTTGCAGATGACATGAACCAGACCACAAACTTGAAAATAGAAAAACAGTAGAAGTACTTAAAAATACTGTTTAGATAACTTAATGGATAACTCAATAAAATGTGTACCTTAAATGCAGCGCAAGTTGCTTTGGATAAAAGCATCTGGGAAATGCATGAATGTAAATGTGATGTAAAATCAAATGTATTTTGGGTGACCTAATTCTGCACTTCTGTAAAATGGACAGCTGACTTTATGATGATTCTGCCTGTCATAGTCAGCACCCGTGTTTTTGCTTGGAGAAATCTCCTGTAACAGACAGAGTCACAACAGCCTTTTAGTGTTATTATAGTTTATGGTCAGGAAAACTACCAGGCAATAACATAACTTTAATCAAATAAACAACATTTATCAAATTTGTTAGCAAAACTTCCTATATTAATATATTGCTAGTCCGTTCCTCCTCCTCCAGCAGCCAGTGGTTAATTCGGCTGATATAGTTGATGTTAGCTTACTCACCTGTTACCACCGCAGTGATGGCAATCACAAGAAAAGACTCAAATACACCTCCATTGCAGGCGACATTACCATAAGACCACTAACTTGAAAATAAAACACAAAAGATGTACTTAACAGCCGTGTTTCTTAAAGGTTTCCTCACTATTTCACGTTAGCTCGCTGTTAACGTTATGCAACGTCTGTCTGACCTAACTCGCAATAAAGAGGGAGCGTAGAGTTCTTCTCTTTAACTAGTTTACTATGGTTAACTGACGTTAATGTTGATGTTATCACTCATGTTACGATAGCTCCAAAATACAACCGCGACATTGCAGTTGATATGATCCATAAACTTGAACATAGAAAACAGAAGTACTTAAAAATGCTTAAACAAACTTAAACAATGGTGTTGCCTAATTCACTTTACTTCAGTATTTCATGTTAGTTCGCTGTTAAGGTTAAGTTACTATCGATTTCGCCTGATTAGCTAACTTGCATTAAAGAGGCAACGGAACATACAAACGTTGTTTCTTGGTTTAACTAAAGTTTATTTCAATTAATATTGGTAACCTTATTGGTGACTAAGGCTGTCAAAATGGCTGAAAAACTAAATTCGAATTTTGTACTTAAATATTATCAGCTATTTTCTACAAATTTCACTGTCACAGGTGCTCAGTTGTTTTGCCCCCAAAAATACCTTCATATAAACCACACGAACAAACTACAGTGTTGGTGGACAAGTTTTTTGCGGCCAGTCAACGTAGAACATATGCGAGCATTATGCAAATGTGACTGGTTTCGGCTGTTCTTGGTTGTTTCTTTCATTTGAGAGACAGTAACTTTATTTATCGTGCACTTTTCGGCTTTACAACTTTGCAGATCGTTTACATTTATATACAGCTACATTACACACTGCATGAAAGGCAATATTCAAAATGGCATAATAGGGGCACTTTAAAAGTACCAGACTACCATGCATGTAAAAAAACCAAAAACCAAGTGGACAATGACAAGGCATATAAAAACTTAATAAAAGATACAAACAATGTTCTGTGATGGGGATTTTTCAGTGGCTCTTCTGCAGGTTATATCATTACGCCCGTAGGTGGCAACAAAAGAGTGAGACTATGAATATTTAATTCAACCGATTTATTCATTATACTCATTCAGGAAAGAAACATGTCTGTCATTTCGTTGAGTATTGACCTAAATGAGACATTTCCTAACTTCAGGGTAAACAGAACAGTGGGTGTTGGATGGTTTGAAATAGTTAAAGGTGGTCAACAAATAAATGCACCGTGGCTCATTTCAGAGGAGTTAACGTTTTATTGCTCATGGTCCATTATCATGTTCTTGGCCATCTGGTTGACATTTGAACATGTTTGCATTGAATGAGTTAACCATTACCCTGATTCTCTGTTCCTTTCAAGGCAGGTTGCTAAGCACTCTAATGGGTTTCTAAGGGCTATTTGTCCTCGCTCTGCTGCTCATGGTTTTCACATCCCATCCCATCCACCACATTCATTTTACTTTTGTTTTTAAGGAGGAATTTGTGACAATGCTCCCACTGTTCGGGGTCTTTCTCACAGTGTTGTTATGTTCTCCTCACATTTCACAACTTCTCATACAAAGCATTTTGTGTTTATCCTCTTAAAAAAACCCAGCATGAAATCCCACAATGGTATCAGGACTTACTTAAATATATATATTTATACATAACATATAACATGAATATATATATATATATATATATATATATATATATATATATATATATAT